GACTTTTAATATGACACAATGGAGAAAAAGGATTCAGGTAGCCGACCCTACATAATGGGATAAAGGCTTGATGTTGTTGTTGTTGTTGTATCTTTTATTTTACTCGTGGCTTATTATTCATGTTTATGATGATATTTCTACTTCTACATATTTACCCCCTCATTAAACCAAGAAATAATATCCCATCTCTATTGAAAAATTAATTTTATTGACATCTTTTGTTAATTTACACACATTATTGACTAAATATGCAACCAAAGAACACACGCAAGCTCTCATCTTCTTTCAATATAATCTTCACAAAATAGAGAGGAGAAAGATGCTATCATCAACAACATCATTACTTTCTTTGTCTCTCTTTTTCAATCTTTGCATCATTAGCTTTATCATAATTATTTGGGTCATAATAGTCCATCCTAATCATTTTGTGACAATCATTAATGAACAATATAAATTATCTAAAGCATAGGAAACAAAAATCCCAAACATCTAATTTATTTTATATGATAAACACTCAATTTTTTCAAAACCAAGACTTCGTTTGAGACAGCTCTTTAACGGCTTCCTAAAGCAGCTTTTTAGTACACAAATTTTAATTTTTTACTAGAAAGTTGCTTTAAGAAGAAGTATAAGCTGTCTCAAATAAAACCTAAGTTTTTATAAAAAAAAAGCAAAAAACAATTAATCAATCCCAATAATTCAAATTGGAATGGATTGGATTGTTGTAACAATGTAATTGAAGAAGATCAGAATCCACTGACAAAATGTCATTCCAACATTAATAGCAGACCAAAAATTTATGCTATCATTACTAACATAAGTGACAGCAGAACGATAGAATAACAGTAATAAATTCAAGAATTCTTCTGTACCAACAACATTTAAAACATAAATGCAGAACTTCAAAGGAAGGTTTAAGTAATATTTACCTTCCAAAGCTGGGTAATCATAAAAATGTACGCATCAAGAAGAGTGCTGGGAAACTGATATCCATTCTCCAGCCCATTATTCTTCTCACCAACCTCATAAAATCCGGTTTCTCATCGGTTTATTGCTTGTTTAATAGCAGAAAGTCTTGAGGAGTATATTAAAAAATCTGCAGAAGTTGGCTATTAATTTACTGATTTAAAAAGGTGCAATATGATAAATGTGAATCTATTTGAGCAGTATATAGCGTTACTCTATGATGAATTGAACTTCCATATCTGCCAACCTCTGTGAGACCAGTGTTTCTTACTGTGAAAAAAATGCAGATACCAAGCATTTTCAGAGCAATATAGCAGTTGTAAATGGGAGGTGGGGCATCTCAAGCAATCTTGCTCTTAAAAGGTCTAGTTCTCGATGCCTCTCATGCACAGCATGATCACCTGGAGAATATCAAAATCAAGAAGAAAACAAATATACTTATCAGAGAGCATGGCTGTCATCTTTAATGTGTTTGCTACACGCATATCGATAATGAATTTTTTTTTAGGAACGGGGTTATCTATCCGCTACCACTCCAAAGGGAGCGCTTGGCAGCGTAACTAATCCCTCGGCAGAACCTAACGAGGCCACCCACCTGCATTGGGCCCACA